AAATTCCTGTAATAAACATTCATTGAGAGCTATCAGTCACAAAGCTGTAAATATAAACTCCTGCCCAAGAAGTCCCTAAACCATAGCTTGCTGGAAGCTGTAAGGGTATTCCAGAGGATTACCATGCACATGTCCAGACTTTGTATAATTCCCCTGAACAGCTGCTCTTTATCTTGATGAAGACTCTTCACTTTCAGTGCTCAGTACAGCCAGTCACACATTCTTAGGGTTTTTTAGACAAGCAGCTCAAGAAGAAACTGTTCTAGGGATAGTGCTTAAGGACCATAAGAATTTAAATTTTACTAGACAGTGTGACAGGTGCTAGGGGAAGTCTTTGTTCTGTCACACTGATTCACTATCATTTTCAAAAGCTCAGGATGCAAAAAGCACTTGAGGTTTTTTTCTTCTACTTCAGATTTAGACTGTGGATAGTTTGTTCACAGGTAGAGGAAATGTGTGAGAAACAAGCTACAAATTGGAAAGTAGTGTAAGAAATAACTGGATGACAAAGACCAGAAAGGTTAGGAAAAAAGAAACTATACATCTTCGTATACATTTTGTTTGTTGTTGTTTGTGATTGCAGTCTATATTTGGGAGTAAGCACTCATATACATATAAGCATGTATGTATGTATAGGCACACATATACATACCTCAGATTCTCCTTTTCCATCCTGTATGAAGAACAAGCTGGATCCAAGATGCACATGGCTCAGGTTGTAATACATCACAAGATTAGAAAAGGAGGGAGAGCATCTCACTTGGAGATAACCTAGCATAGAGACTTACAGAGGCAACTCCACTGCAGCCTGCATGACTCTCTGTCCCCAATGTGGAGATCTCCATTCCCACATCCATGTTCCTATGTCTTATTCACCCACACTATCTAACAGGAAGAGCACTGTGCATGCAAACCAACACAGCTGAAAACAGGGGCTGTCCATTGCAATCCCTGAATACAGCAGTGGTCACCATGAACTGGCCTTCTGTGCAAGAAGCTAACCAGCAACAGAAGAAGGATTTGCTACAGGAGAGGCAGGAGAATCCCCAACAGGCTTTGGAGAGAAAACAGAGTCCTTTGAGATTTCAGAGAGCAGACTGTGTGAGGGAGTTTATTGCTTTCCCACAGATGTATACATGTTTTCTGCCCTCTTTATGTTTGTGTGTGCAGGAAATTCCTGTGGTTTCTGCACTTATTTTGCACAGAAACCCTGAAAAATGCAACTAAATTCTTCAGAGAGCCACCCAGAGAAGGTTTTCTAAGAGGAAAAGCCTAAAGACTGGGAATGTGCAGCTCACTCTCAAAAAGGAGTTGAACACTGGTTGCATGGAAGTCGCGGGCCTGTAGGTTGTAGAGCTGAAAGCAATCATCCCTCCTAGCCTGGACCCAGAGGTGGTAGTACTCAGTAGTTGGAACCCCCAGTGACAGACTTGTGTCCTTTTGGGAAGGAGGGCTGGCCCAGGATCGTAAACAACCTCTTTGCTCCATTTGGTTATGACAGGATTCTGTTACAGGAGATGCTAAAGCTCTTGGAAAGCTAGAATTTCCAGGTAGCTTATTGTGGCCTTGGCCTGGAGAAAAGAGTCAGATTTTCCTAATGCTAGGATAGAGCATGCTGGGTATGGGATTATCCAGGCAATGCCGTATTTGCAAAAGCCAACCGTCTACTTCAATCTACTAAAGCAAGCAAAACTTAGAGCAACATGTGAAGTACTTCAGTGTGATCTGGGGACAGAGCAACCACCCTTTTCATTTTTAATAAAGAATCCGGTCTTCTGCTTCACTAGGTAAAGTTCTGGTGCAGTTAGAAGTGTTGGTTGTTTGTTTGATTTTTTTTAATATTCTCGCTGCTTCTACTAATCCATGTAAAACACGTGTAATTTCACCACGCTTTGTGAGTTTATAGAAGTTGACCCCACCTGCAACAGGAGTTCAGAATAATTTTTTATTAAAAACTTTAAATAGTGACACACAAGTTAAAAGCAGTGAAGTGTTCAGTCATCAAAGCAGCATTGGGCAACAGAAGTTGGTTTTGGAGCTCTGGGACAGAAATAGCATGATTCAAGCTTCTTTCCATTGACTGATACCAAACTGTAAATGACTGGCAGAGTAAGCAAGAGTAGTACCGTTAGCTCTGGGGACATGGTGCAATGGCAGTTCAGCAGCTGGTTTTTTTCATAACTGTCCTTTGACAGCAAATCTCACACTTACACAATGCTTGCTTGTCCTGATCCATCAGAATACTTAGTGTTTTACAAATTCTGGTAAACGTGAAAGCATGCTAAATATTGCTTTCATTCTGTAGCTAAGCAGCAGAAAGAAACAGATAAAAACATGTCATGGCCTCAGAGAAACACATATTTTATATGTATTCCTACAGTGTAAGCAGCCTTTTTTTGCAGGAACTATTCTAGCCTGTTCTTGAAAATATTTTCATTTCCCCCTTAAGCTGTTTAATCTCCCATCTGTAGCATTTATAATGAGGATGTGATGTTGACACCTAGAGGAACATAGGTATGAATGTAAATCCATTGTATGAGTCTGTAACTCTCTTTCATAATGTGTTTTTTAGTATGGCATCTGTTTAAACTGAGAAGTGAAAGTCTGTAATGTAATATTCCCTCTGTGAATAATCTATAAGTTTAGCAGACACATTACAATTAATAAGCAATAATAGTGGGTTTTCCAGCAATCCAGTTTAATAGCTTCTTCATACACCTGTGTTTATACATCAAACTTCCAACAAAAAAGTAATGTACAATTCAAGAAAATACCCAAAGCTAATACAGTTTTGGCTTCCTCTTTGTTGATTTACAATTATGTACAAGACTGTCTTATTTGCGATACCCAGTGAAGGTTTCATGATTTATTTACATCAGCTGGTGCTTTTCACTACGCAAGTGAACTGTCTCCTTTTTGCTATTTACATTCGTAGTAGAAAGAGCCCACTCCTAGGAGGCATTTACAGATAGGGTTAAGAGGTGAACTAAAATAAGGAAAGATTCTCACTACCAATGACAAACATATAATGGAAAGCCCATTGTCAGATATAGCTGGGGGAAGATTCCAGGGCCTAGTGCACTGATATAACCATTATACTTACAGTCAATATAATAATGTCTCTCCACTGAGAATAACATTCCCACTCATATCAGAGGGAGATATGTGCAAGCTGGAGGCAGTATGTATTTTAAGCTGCAGCAGACAAAAGGTATAAGGTGCTAAAGATGCACCTACTTATCCTGCCAGAGACTTCTAAAACAAATGAAGACACAAAATATGCTATATTTCTAAATGTGTGGAGGAGAATCTTTCACAATTCTTGTTACACAAAAGATTAAATTCGGAGGGGAAAAAATTATAATTTTATCATAACATGCAAAGTGTTTCATAGAATCACAGAATAACTTGGGTTGGAAGGGACCTGTGGAGGTCATCTATTCCCAATCATTCAAAGCAGGGCCAACTTCGAAGTTAGTTAGTCAGCTTTCAACTTCGAGAATATTGTTCAGGGATGTTCATCTTCAAAGATGGAGATTGCACAACCACTGGGCACATGTTCCCATGTTTGACAACCCTTACAGTAAAAAAACTTTCCTAACACCTGACCAGGACTTCCACCTTGAAGGTATAACCTAAGGCTCACTGAATCAATCGGAGCCATTCTATTGGCAATAAGAGTTTCAGAGCATCCCTAAACCAAGTAGAACAAGGATTATTCTTCCAACTTTTCAGAAGAAATAACTCACTCTTCCAAGCTATTTTCTGATATCTAGTCGGTAGGGCACCACTGCTTGAAATATTTTCAGAGCTTATATCACAGTGCAATATATATACCATCCTTTGGCATCAAGAAATCAGTGCCGCAGTTACACTTCCTTTATGTGTCATAAATCAAATATTTTGCACATTACACAGCTGTTGTAGAACAGCATGTTTATGAGAGCATGACCAGATGCAAATTACACAAAAGGCATGAGGGTTTCACCTTAGAATCCTCTCAACAAAGATAACAACTGTTTGTTTGAGGAGCAAAAGTCAGGACTCTGTGGTAGCTACATGTGTGAGTTTTTGAAATTCCTGTTTTCCCATTGCCTGCTATGCCTTCTGATCATCAAATTTGTTTTGTCTCTCCCAGCTTGAAAGATGCAATCTACAATGCAGTTCATCCAGTGACAAAAGCTACCCCTAGTTGAAACTCTTTTCTGATGTCTATATAAAGTCAGCCACTCACCCAGTCTTTCCATCTCTCCACAAAATGCTACATGACTCTAGAGGCCATGTACCCTTTACTTCCCTAGCCCTGGCAAATAAAGAAAACAGACAAACTAGAATCAGCTCAGTCTTCATATCCAGCCTTAAAATCCACCTGTGGTACATCCTACCCCAGAGTGACAAGAACACAGAGAGTAAGGTATTCAAATGTCATGGTAACACTGTCCACTTACATAATACATATTTTATGACAGAAACAGTCAAGACTAGAGTACATTGGTCATAACTCTTGAGCGAGGTATGTGAACCCTGATAATTGGAGCTAATTCTCTGATTTTATGTCTTCAGAAGGAAATAGCAAAAAAACAGTTAATTTTGGGCGTCAGAATAAGCCATGCTGTATCTAGAGAGACAAAGAATGTCAAGAGAAACACACACTGAGAGGCTGATGGGCTCATTTGCATGGCAGGTCACACTCATTGCATTTGGCAGAAAGAAAAATAAGGCTTTCCCCATATAATCCTCTTATAAGATCCAGTTTTCAGTAGGGTAAATGAGATTCAAAATATTCTTTCTCCCCATAATACTGATGCTCCTACAACCACTGTGAGAGAGGTGTGTGGAGGGAAAGAAAGGTAAAACCACGTATTAAAAAATGGTTTCTGATTGCCGCAGAAATCATGACAGCTGAATGGAGAAAGATGTTCCATAGGCATTTCACCAGAATTACAAAATAGGGCAAGATGTTGCATTTCAATTCTTTTCCCAGGTTTGGCTTTGTTTTCTTAATACTTGTTTGATAACCCACAGACCATTCTCAGGCTATAGCAACAAATTATCTCTTTGAAGGTCTTCCTCATTTCCTGGCTACGAAAGGCATAGATCAAGGGATCAATCACTGAGTTGCACATGATGAGAATAAGGTACATGTTGAAGTGAGACATGAAGCAAACACAGTAGAGGTTTTGAGGGCAGGAGATCATCAGAATGAGATGTAGGAAGAATGGAGCCCAGCAAACAATGAAGATGCCGAGAAGCATAGTCAAAGTGATGGCTCCTTTCATGCTGGTTCTTTGACGGACAGAGTTGTACCCAGGCAAAGCAGCTATTTTCTTCACATGAGTACGAGCCAGGAGGAACATATGGATGTACAGCGAGACCATGAGGAACAACATGGTAAAAAACATAGTGATGAGACAAATGATCACATACGTTGATTCATAATAAAGAATGAAAATAATGCCACAGCCCGTGCAAAAGGTCCAGATGCATGCAATAATAAGCCCTGATCTTTTCACTGTCATGATGTTGTGATAACGCAGGGCATAGAAGATAGTGATATACCTGTCTACTGCTATAGCCAGCAAACTGCACATGGAAGCCACCACAGATATGCAGATCATTGAATCAAAGACATTGTCTATATGACGGACAAAGGCATCTTCCATAATTATGTGTCTATTGTTTATCAAGTATATTGTTATGGTCTCCCAAGCATTAGACACACTAACCAGCATGTCAGCCACTGCTAAACTGCAAACAAAAAAATACATGGGCGAATGCAAGTTCTTGTTTTTAACTATTGCCAATATAACTAAGATATTTTCAAGGAGGCTTACAATGCCCAGAGTTAGGAATGCCTCAGCTGCAATGACCACTTGCTCACATGGTGATGACTTGTTCTTGACAGTAGGCACAGTAAAGTTGCTGCCAAAGGCACTCAGGTTTAGTTCAGAAACACACAGCTGAGAGGACGTGTTCATCTCTGGAAGCAAACACGTTCTGTTCTTTCTGAGGGACTTGCCAAGGAGTGAGGTAAATACATTTTCCAAAAGGCAAAAGACCCTGCCAAAAAAAACATAGCATGACAAGAACAGGCAGAAGTTGACAAAACAAATATTACCCACTTCTATTTAATTTGGCTTGTACACATCCTGCCTTTTCCACATCATATTCCTCTACTGATTCTCAGTTAATGTCAGATTGTCTCAGAGTTTTTCTGCCCATCCTTACTGGGAAATTAAAACCACAAACAAAAAAAAAGAGATTAATGCACTCTTCATTCATAGTTTTGTTTGTTCTATTCAGTCCCCCAGAAGTGAGCATAACGTCCTGGAAATTCTGCTGAACAACAAACAAGAAACAGTTTTCAAAGTCTTAATTCTCAGACCTCAGAAATGCAGGAGAATATAGTATTAGGTTTGTCAGAACCTACTCACTTGAATACAATATATAGACGTTTGAATTATTGCTGCAATTAAGAATTGAACATTTTCAGTAAAAGATTTAAATGCTTTCCTGACCTTTGTACTTCTTAAGTTCACATGAACTGTATTATAAACTGCTTGCCTGTGCAATACTAGCATGCTCACTTAAAAGCATAGTATTAAACACCTAACCAAAGCAAATCCATTCATTTCAGGATACACTAAGGTTACAGAATCAGTACGGGTGGAATTCTATCATAAAAATAAGTTTTCTGTTCCAGACCACGGGTATTCTATTCAGTGCTCTTTTGGTAATGACAATATTCAGGGCAAGTTGTAAGCCATAGGATTCCTAATAAGGGCAATACTTAAAGCTGATTGTCAGTGACTTTTTGCAAATAAAATTCAAAGCATATCAAGCTAAACAATTTTCAGTTTTTAAAAGTAACCTTTATTTGCAATCAAGAATTAACTGTACCTTTACCAGAGCTGGTCCTTCAGCTGCTCTTCCTCTTCATCACCTGTAACCTTTCCTCCAGATAGCAGAAGTTTCAGCCCCCCTCTTCACCCTCCATCTGGGGCTGGGGACTCCTTGGTGGAAATAGATGACAAAAGTAGAGGAAAATGAACGAGTGAATCCATAGAGTCAAGTCTGACCACATATATATTACTGACTGTGCAACTGCCTTTTTATAGACTCCAAGCAATAATGACTTCAGTACTCAAACTGTGGCTCCTCCTCCCCTTCTTTGCCCCTCTGAACTTCTCTTTTCACAGATTTTCTTAGCAACGGCTTGGGTTTTTACCACCATCTAGTGGTCTTCTCTTGTCTTTCTAACTGAACAGTGATTCTAATCTAAAATTGATGATGAACTTTTCATAATATTAAAGGGGAAAATGTACTAGGCGTGCTCCTTTCCAAAAATATTTCTTTTTTGTTTTCTCTGCTGTTGCTAGTACTCACTGACAATAAGTTCATACTGCAATAGTACTCCAAAAGAGGTGAGAGCAGAAAATTGCTATTGAAATGGGAGGCTTATTATTGTTATAAGCCTTTTGTCTTATATTCACAGTTACAATTTTGCAAGAATAAGAATCACACTGTTACAAAACTCAGAGAACATACAGTCAAGCCCATCACACAAGTAATTTGTGTGAAAAAATAGAACAAACAAACAGTTGTGCTCCAGTCCCCTTGCTGGAATAGAGATTTTAATGCCAACGTGGAAGGAGTACACAGCACATTGTGCGGGGAGCTGGGGCTTCCCGTGATGGATGTGAATTCCCCCAGGTTTCACAGGGTGTAAGGGCTGGCAAACTCAGTGCTCGGTATTGCAATAGCTGCAGTCCCTCTGCAGGTCTAGCAGTCAGGCAGCCAATGCTCATTCTGGGCCCTACCTGGAAGACAGTAAAATCAGTGCAAGTCTTTTCTCTAGCAAATGGCCTCTGCTTCCACGTGCAGACTGAGGAATGCAAAGCACACACCTTCCTCACACTGCCAAATGCGCTTTATGTTATCTGCTAACCAGCTAGTCAAACACCATGTAGGATTTGAAGTTAGCTTGAGATAAAAACTCTCTGTTTCTCCAAATCACCACCTTACCACAAATTAAGGGGAAGGGGGAGGGTGGTTGTGCTATGTAACAGCTTCAAATGCTTATTTTTAAGCTATAGCATTTTTTCTTAAAGAATCGCCACCAGCAAACACGAACTTTGTTGCTATATCTTGTACCAATTTTGTTTTCAGTGTTCAGATAGAGTTTATTGTCACAATGCAGCTAAATTCATATTTCTGATTATTATATTCCACAGAAGCTTCCCTATTGTTACTGCTAGCTTCACTCTAGGGACACTAAAAGACCTGGGCCATGGTATGAGATGTTCTTACGTACAAATAGTCCCTGCACCAAAGGAGACAATGAAAAGCATTTTTATTCATTTGAGTAAAATGGCTCTTCTAGCATTATGCAGTTACAGTCTGGAGATGAACTTTGCATGCCCCTTCTGCTCACTACCGGAAAGAGAATTTAGATTATCACAAAATAGAGATAGCAAACTATGCTCAAGTGCAGCAGTTAGATTTGAGCAGATAATGCCAGCTAGTGAACAGCAACACTCCCTGTATCTCACCTGTGTGACAAATCTGAGCTCATAGCTCTTCTCTGTGGCCCAAAGAAAAGAACAGAGGATGCCCGTGTGCAGTCCTCTTTCTGTTCTTCAATATACAACATGTTTTAGTTCTCCTAGGTTATTTTTAGTTGATTTATCCTAGTTATCTTTCATTATCTTTTGCATAGTTTCTGATTTTCCCACTGTAGACCCTGGAAATCTAAATGTAAAATTTTACTTCTTTCACTGTTCTTATATCTACCAAGAATTGTGCAGATGCAATGTTCTTTCCCCTTCCAATTATTTATCTTCCAGTATTCTATTTTTTGTTTATTACACTCTCTCTTTAAATTCCTCTGTATGTTCAGTTTAATAAAGTTCTTTGCAGCCTAGCTTAGCTGCCTTTACAAAAGTTCACACTGTACCTGGTAGACCAGCTGATTACAAGAAATAAATCACACATCAGACTCAATGCTTTGGCTGTTATTCCTTAGAGCAATGCCAGGTCTCTCACATACAAATTACAAATCAGCCTTTGGATTCTTCTTCCACAAGCCAGACACTGCACACATAAACCCTGATACAAGTGTCTATGCTGGATAAAGAAACACCCTTATGTACAAAACCTGCAGAAAAATTACCTGCCTGGAAACGGGAGTAGTGATATAGATGTAGTTTGTTTATGTTACTGGATGAAATGAAAAAAAAAAAAAATTCCAAAAAATAGTTTAAGAAGCAAGTAGTGGAAGGACATCCAATTAGCAGTGGGTGGAGGCACGCAGGTGAGTTACATGGGTTGTAAGTAAAGGGGCATGGGACTGGATCTTTGATTCTCTCAGGAAAAATGCAAGAGTGGCTTGACCTTCCAGCTGGAGGACTCCTGAATGAACAGGCTGGTCTTTTGGACATTCATGATCTTGGTCTTCAGCTCCCTTGTTTGTTCAGGTAAATAAATGCTCTGTCTCTACAGATAGGTTGCTCCTCGGTGTTTTCCAAGGCCACAAGGATCGTGTCAGGACTGCCAGTGTGGGCAAACAGTACCTCATGCATTGCAAACCCTGCACTGGTATTTAGCTATTGGGCTGTACCAACACAGTACAGGACCTGACCCCTCGAGCGCACACAGAGTGGGCACCCTGAGGACCATGCTGAAGCCCCTGTCCTGTTCTCAAAACACCATTTTCTCTCCACAGATGGAAAGAAGAGAGGTTGGACTCGGGGGCTTGGGGTGTGGGCACACAGGTCTCCCTGCAGTGTAGAAACAAGCACAGCCAGGTCATACACCACAGAGCCAGGATCTGGAGCCCTTGGGAGTGCTCCTGAGGTCCACGGTCATCCCAAAAGGGATGTCAAAATGTATCTTTAGTAAAAGGTGTTTTGTTCTGTACTTCATGTGGCATCTTCTCTGGTGTAAGGAAAATGCTAACTGCTGCCCAAGAGTTTGCGCTGGGCTCCAGGAAAAAAGATCTAAAGTGCCCCAGAAAGACATAAGTGAACATAAGAAGGAAGTAAAACACCATTCTGGCAGAGAACATCAGACATCAGGGCCTGTTTCAGTCCCATGCCGTTTCTTTCCATTGTGAAGCAGTGAGAGCATAAAGCCGCTCCAGCTGCACATCTGCCTCTCAGGCTTCGTCAGCCACCGGAGTGGGAACCGTGACAGTGTCACTGGCAGGGACACCCAGCCCCTGCCTGCCACCAGCACCACCAGCTATCACACCCAAGCTCCCCTTCGCTCAGCACGCCCACTAGGACAGGAGAGGCCATGACTACCCTGGCCTGTAGGCCAAGTTGCATCATGTCCAAACGAGCAGGGAATTGCATGCCACCTTCATGACAGCAAGATACTGATTTTATCAATGAACACATAAATGAGGACAGCAGCACAACATGCCCCCAAAGAAGTTGCTATAAGAAGAGCTTATTGCATTCTGGTGCTAATCTGTGCTAATCTTAGCAGGTTCAGAGAAGAGTTTTCCTGATGCTAATACAAATCTTCCCAACTTGTCTAGTGCTAATACATTGAAACAATTTAATTCCAGTGTCCTTCTGTAGCTATTTTTATCTGTGTGATGAAAATACATTTGTCCTTCATAACAGAGCTCCGGATAGGTGCTCTTAGGCTATTTACAAAATCTCTCTTCTGTCTGCTCCTTGCCTGTGCTGTCACTAGCGTAGTATTTCAGAGCCACAGAGGATCCTCTCAGACTGCTCCAAGAGACAACCCATGGATCACCAAAAGTTAAAATTGTGGCCTTTTCTGCCTTTGAATCACATAATCACATATTTCTCTTGACCTCTGTGCTGAATAGCTTTGGCTAAGGCCCATCAAAGTCCCCACTGTTACTTCCCCAGCATTACCATCCAGTAAGCCTTTAATAAAGACAGGCAATTAATTGGGATAAAAAAAAAAAAAGGCATGTATATGTCCTTTCCTTAAATATAAA